AGGCCGGAAGCTCTGCCCTTGCCAACTCGGCAAGAGGCTGCTCAGCACATCGCAGCATCATTACGAGAGTCGCAGTCGCAGTCGGTGGGGCAGTGGGCAGGTCGGCATCATCATCATCATCATCAGACTTGGCGAGCATGAGCGCTTGTGCGAATGCGAATGCGGCGGCGAGGTGGAGATTGCGCAAGCTTCATATGGATGTTGGACCAACAAGTTTGCAAATCGCAAGAAACTTTTCCACGCGCACTGCGGCACAAATTGCATTCGCTCCTGCTGCTGCTGCTTCGATAGCGCCCGGCCCCAACGTTTCGAAGGCGGCCAAGAGCAAAGGGACGAAGCGAGTGCAGCAGGTGATTTCTGCCGCCGGTGCATCAGCCAACTCCGCATCGATCGCAGCAGCACCAGTTGGAAGAGCAACACCTGGCGTCGTCGTACCTGCACACAGGGAGATCGTCATCTTTCGCGGACCTACCAAGTATAAACTTTGGCTCAGCTTCTTCATCGCATCCGTCATCTTTGGGAGTGGGTGAGCATGAGCACGCGGGGCCTTGCAACGGGGTACCTGATGGCCCTTTGAAGCTTGGCAAGCTCGTGCGCCTTCCAATTCCTGTCCGCTCACATCTGCCTAGCGCTTTCTTGCCTTCCTTTCATTGGCTAAAATCAACACAATCAGATTGGGGTCTGCCGTGCTGGTATTCGATTCTTTTCACACCCAATACCCTTTTGTGCAACTCAGAAAGTGAGCTCGTCTTTCATGCGGACGGGGCGGGGGGGGGCGGGAGCACATCGCATCGCATTTTGCGGCCTAGCGATTAAGATCGAATTGCTGACCAAACAAACCCGACTCACTGCTCTTGCTCTTGCTTGCTACCTGCTGGACCATTTTCGCCCTTGCGCACTCTTGTCCCCGCGTCGCATCGCATCGACATCTCCTCGACATCGTCATTGTACAATCATCTAAATCTAGGCGGGAGGATGAGAGACCTAAAGTGGCCGCTCTCGGAACTCGTGTGTTTCTCAGCTTTTGTCTCTCAGCAGGCTCTGCATTCTTGGTGAGTCGAGTTGGTCTTTGTTCGAGCGCGCTCTCCGCAAAGAGCAATGGCTGGTCAAAAACGGTGTGGGTTAGGGAGGCAAGGAAGAAACTGTGCAAAGTCGGCTTGGGCGCTGACGCACGGATCGATCTACTCACGTAACCGGTAAATGCTGCAGAGCTCCCTGATCATCGTGGGAGCTTGTCGTACGGTGACGGTGCTCAAGCTTCGTCCAGATGCGCGTCAAGTAGTGATACGCACAGCCGCTCCCGGTTTCTGCGGCCTCATACCTCGTTCTTTGGGTATAGGTCCACTAGGACGCCTGCTGCGCGCACAAGGTTTCCACCTCACCCGCTGTAATAGGGAAAGGATTGTACCGCTAGGAGAGGTGTACAGGGCGCGCAATAGCCCTTTTGCACCGGAGGCGAAATTTGAATCCTCTGGCGATCTGAGAGTCACGCCGAATATGGCTTTTAATTATCAGTACGAATTGGGAGGAGGCAAACTACCTACTAGGCAAGATTACCCTTCCTTTTGGCAATACATCTGGCAGAGGTTTAGGTGTTCCCTTAGAGGAAAGACGGAGTGGCAAGATATGCCTTTGGAAGAGCGATTCGAAAATGTCCCCACTGCGAACGGACCTCCCATTGCTCGCAGATTGGACCCCAAGGAACCTTGGTTTGCAGATCGCAAAGCCTTTCACAATTTGTTCCCCAGGCCACCTCGATAGCAACGTCACATGCATGCGTTCCAGGCCACTTTCGTCACCCCTCTTTGCGAATGCTATTCAACAAGATTGCTCATGAACGAAAGTGCGCGTAGACCGAATGAGATTTCAACAGCCAAATGAATCGTGAAAGGGGGAATGGGTCGCCTACTCTACAAATGGCTTCGCAAGGAACGCGCCTCGAAGCGCGGGGGCAAGCTGGAAATTCGGGGGGTGTATGTCCACTGCATTCATCGCACCTAGCTCGACAGTAACGACGGCGACGACGACGACATCAAACAACGCATCCGCTGAAAAGGGGGAAAAAGAATGGTCAGTATTCAAAGGCACAACCAGTTCGAGCTTACTGTATTTGCACGACGAATTTTCGAGCTGCTTGTCGACTTTTGCGCTTGCGGAAAGAAGGGCGCCCACAAAAAGTGGTGTGGAGATGCTTGAGTTGATCGATCAAGTTTTTTTTTGCGCCGGGGAGCCAGCGTCACTTGTTCACCTTTGACCGGAGCTGTGGACTTGAAATTGAAAGAGGTTGCGACTGGAATTCGAGACGAGTGTTTAGAAGGCGAAGAAGGAAAACTCATGCCGTGGAAAAAGTTCGGTGAATGGGGAGTTGCTATTAGGCGGCGATGGATGTATTAGGCCTCATTCCTAGCCTCAAAAGTCGCTCCTTTCTCGGGTGGGTTGATATTGGAGTGTCCAACAATTGAAGTTTGAGGTGAGAACGTCAGAGGTGCAACAAAGCGCTTCGTACTTTCTCAGCGGCGAGATCAAGTTGAATCGATTTGCGAGAAGCTTCATAGTAATAGTCTGCGGTCGAGCTGGAATGACTCGTCGTGGAAGCTGAGCCCGGCATCGTTGTAGACCTCTCGCATCACTCTGCCTTGTGTCGTTTGAGCTCATCTGTAGAACGAGACCGCAATTCAATGTGAGCTCCAAAGTATCGCCCTTGACGGAACGTTGCACTCACTCGACACCTCGACCGATTCGTGCATATCGTGCTGCTCCTCCAAAGGTCTCTTGCCGCTCAGAGGAGCGATGGAAGCGCGTTTCGCATCCGCATCCGCCCCATCATGCTCTGCGAATTGCGAGATTTTCACCTCTTCGCTGTTCAGAAGGTTCTCAGGCTCGTATGGCTCCTCTTCGTATTCGAGAAGCTCGTCTTCGACTGTTTGTACCGCACGAGAACAGATCAAATGGTCAGATGATCCACACACAATGTCGCCTACGCCTGGGCAATCTCCACCAACTACTCACATTGATCTGCATGAGCCTGAGGCCCATCTTCGACACCTTGCACCTTATGTTCCGCTTCGAATGTGTCATCTCCCTCTCCGTCCTGCTGCTCATATTGTCCGCCTTCCTCCTCACCCTCCTCATCATACTCTTCATGCTGATTAGATTCTCCTCCCCCAGCTTCATCTTCTTGATGCAGCGCTCCGTGTTGTGCAGCAGTGGTCTCGTCCAACTCATCCGCTTCCTCCTCTGCATACTCTCCGTACGTCTCCTCGCCCGCATCGGCCGTCGCAAAAGTCTGATCAAACTCTTCCCCTTCTTCCAATCGCGTCTCATCCCCAGCTTCAATCGTCTGCGGAGCACTTCCTTCCTCGTCTTGCAATTCCGACGTCTGCTCTGCAAATTCTTCGGCATTTGTGTGTGCGGTCTCTGCGACTTGCTGCGCCTCCCCATCGGCTGCTTCTCCAAGTTCGTCGGGCTCCTCCTCCGCTTCAAGCTGCTGCTCCTCATGCTGCACGTCCTGCTCAAGCTCCTCTTGGGCCTCTTCCACAACATGTCGTTCCTGGCGCTGCATCTCCTCTTCTTCCAGCCTAGCTACCTGCTCAGAGAGCGCATTGTACCTGCTTATGAATCTCGGAGCTTCGGTGATGGACAAGTGCAGTGAACCGGCATGACCAAGGCCCAGATGGATTCGATGCAAATCTGCAAGCGTCACTTCTCGGGCATACAAGTCGTCCTATGCACCGTCATCGCAAAGCACCGAGGAGGCAGGCGCAGTCAGCAGGGGCGATGCGCTCTCACAAAACGCCCAAGACTCACCTCGCGCACGGACAATTGCAGATCTGGCAAAGAAATGATCAGTTCCGTTCCCTCCTCCAAAAAGTCTCCCAGCGCATGCTTGACTCTCAGATGATCGCACAGCGAGTCCAAGCCTTCCCGAAAGCCATGTTCCGGCACGCTCAGTTGCGGTGCCTGAACAGCAACGAGCGAGCCAGCCGCGCTCCTATCCGTGCTCGTCGTCTGATCACCTTTTGCGTCTGAGGCGACAGTGACGGTTGATGGGGCGTAGTACACGGGCGAAGGGGCCGTGGAGAAGAGGACAAAGTCTTGATCTGCAAAGGAAATGCGAACAGATGGCAGTTCTTCTTCTTCTTCTTCTTCTTCTTC